GGAGACCTTTAATTTCACATTCCTCTTTCATACACGTGACTAATGCCTGCAGTTCTGCCTCTGATGGTGCAATAAGCACTGCATCATCAGCATACAGCAGACAATTTACTTTTATGTCACCCAATTTCACACCCAAACAGCTATCTTTCAGCTTCTGTAAACAGCTGTCGAGATACAGTATGAACAGCCAGGAAGACATGACACAACCCTGCTTTACGCCCGTTTGGACGTTAAACATGGGTGACAGGTCATGCCCTACCCGCACACAGGCTTTACAGTCACAGTAAAGAGACTGCACAGCCCTTAGCAATCGACCATTCACACCATACCCCGGCAACAGTTCCCACATTTTCTTCCTAACAACCTTATCAAATGCTTTTTCAAGATCCACAAAAGCACAGAAAATCTTCTGGTTAGCAGCCAGAAGCTTTTCCGTGATCATGCGGAGAGAAAACATTTGATCCGTGCATCCTCTTCCAGGTCTAAATCCGCATTGTGCCTCCCATAGAAATCTTTCCGATTTCTCTTGCATCCTACGTGTCAAAACCTTCGAGTAAACTTTACTTGCTAAACTGGTCAAGCTGATCGCCCGATAGCACCCGCAGTCAAAATGTGAACCTTTACCTTTATATAAAGGCACAATGACTGCGGATCGCCAATCATCCGGAACATCCCCCGTCCGCCAGCACAAATTGCACAGCAGATGGAAGCTGTCCCAGACGCGAGGCCCACCATACTTGACCATTTCAGCAGTAACTCTGTCTAGTCCCGCAGCCTTACCACATTTCAAACTTCGAATCGCACGATCAATCTCTTTCATACTGATGATCTCAGTGTCATCGAGGTCCGGGTCTGGCGTACCAGTCACGGCGTCATCCCCGGATCGCTCACTAAGATCATCACACGCATACATTTCTCTATAAAATTCGCTCCATCGCTGCATGACGTCCGATTTTTCTGAGAGGACGTCATTAGTTCTCGAAAGCACTTTGTTCATTCTTAAGGCCGTCGCACCACTTCGGGTCCTTCCAACCTCTTTCCAGAAGAGTTTGGAGTTCTCCTTAAAGTTGTGCGACAACCTTTCGTCCGCTTCCATTCTACACCTTTCACGCACTTCCTCAATCAGTGCTTTCGTGTGAACTTTCTGCAGCCTATATCTTTCTTTCATCTTCTCTCTCATATCCTTATCATTACTAGAGGCCAAGTAGTCTAACCATGCTTTCTTCTTCTTCTTTACAGCTTCTTTCACTTCATCATTCCACCATGCATCTCTTCTTTTACTACTGCCTCTTTTTATTGTTCCACACACTTCTTCCGCTGCACTTACCATTCCATCCCTAAGGTTCTGCCATGTTCTTTCTACACATTCTTTTCTGCCATCGATGGTGTCAAGCTTTTCGGCTACCCTCGCATGATATTAGTCCCTAATATCCGCTTCCTGAAGCTTCCAGCTTCGAATGCGACAGACCGACTGTGGTTCTGTTACTGCCGTCCGGTAGCGCCAACCCGCGAACAGACCCCTAAATCTAGTAATCACTAGATAGTGATCCGTTCCCAGGTCAGCACCCCTGAACACTCGCGTATCCATCACCTGTTTTCGCAGTCGGTCATCCACCAGGAACAAATCGATCATACTTCTCTCATTCTTTCGTTCTCTAGTATACATATGGATTTTCTTGTGATTAAACATAGTGTTTGTCACAAGAAGACCCTTTTCCTTGCATACCGCCAGTATAAGCTTGCCAGCATCATTAACCCTTTTATCGCCAAACTTTCCAAGTACCGACTCGTAGCCTGGTCGAGCGGTACCAACCCATCCATTCAAATTACCACATACAACAATTCTTTCGTTTCCCCTAGCCAAATCTAGAACTTCTCTTACATTCTCCCAAAACTCCTCCAGCTCAGCCCTGGACGACGAAGCTACCGGCGCATAAACAGCCAAAAGGAATAACTTCGTCAGTCCCAATTTAAAGCGAACCCAGAGAAATCTTGAGTTCACAACCTTATATTCAGTCATAACATCGACCAACCGAGAAGACAGCAGCACCCCCACTCCCTGGCAGGCGTTCTCGCTCTCCGGGACTCCGGACCATAGAGCTAACGCCCCGCCAGGGAGCTCTTCAGTACCACTGCCCTTCCGTTTGGTCTCCGACATACACATGACATCTAATTCTCTTTCTTTCATTATTTCGATCAACTCATTCGTCTTATCTCTCATGCCTCCTCTAACATTCCACGTGCCAACTCTGCACTCTGTCCTCCACCTTCCGCCGTGTCGGGCTGTGCGTGACGGGTGGCGGTCCCCATCGCCGCTTTGCGCGCTGCATTTCACACCAACGGGGACGAGCTGGTGTGCGTCGCCTTGGGGGGACGCCCTAACCCTCGTTGGCATGGGTGCGCAGCTGAGTAGAATTGCAGCCCTGAAAAGGGCTGGCAGGGGTCGCAACGAGCAATGACCCCCGAATGGTGAAGAAAATATATAGCGCGAAAGTTAATATTAAAAGGTGTCGAGGTAGACCGAGACTAACTTTCGAAGACCATGTGAGCAAATTGCTCGTAGAGGGGAGGGTCAAGAGTACTCGGATACCTAGACGTGCATGCATGAAGAAGATAATGAATCTGAAAGAAGCGAAAGAGGTTTGTAAGGATCGTGACACTTGGCGATCTGTTCTCTCTGGCTACCCCGTCAGGGATTGTGCGTAAAGATAAGTAAGTAAGTAAGTAAATATAGTCCTTATGGCAGAATCGCGGGAGAACCTAAGCAATATGCTCAATGGCCTCAATAGTGTTTCCCAACGGGTAGGTCTTAAGATGAACATGGACAAAACAAAGATCATGTTTAATGTCCATGTTACACGTGTGCCGGTAGTTGTTGGAAGCACTAAGCTCGAAGTTGTTGACGAGTATGTTTACCTGGGACAAATAGTCCGATTAGGAAAGTCAAACTTCGACCGAGAGGTCAATCGACGGATTCAACTCGGTTGGGCAGCGTTCGGGAAATTACGACACATCTTCTCGTCAGGTATACCTCAAAACTTGAAAACGAGAATGTACAACCAGTGCGTGTTGCCAGTGATGTCCTATAGAACTGAGACGTGGTCCTACACCGTGTTTTGTAGCATTCCTTTGGGGGAGGCCTATGTTCAGCAGTGGACTTGTGAAGGGCTGTGATGATGATGATATTGATATAATTTCTAACTTCTTTTTTTTTTAATTTTATATCAAAAGCTACAGATCGATCTAAATACCCAATTTTGGGATTGATGTTATTTTTTATTAGTGAATTAAAATAAAATACATATCACATTCATCCTACTCAATAGGATAAATGTGATATAAAACTACTGAATTAATGTTTACTTATTTTACGAATTTCGTTATAGTATGATCATTCCTCGTGTATTTATTTCATGTTTCAGATTATAAATATACATATCATTTAAATACATTACAATGACATCAATTGTTTAAAGGAAACAGCTTATGATTGATTCTTAAATAATGTATAAATAATTAAATGCATTAATAATAATTCAATCAACGTCAACCTTAAAACTACGCCGTAGTAAATGTATACAATAAATTAGAATATTTTGGCCATACTTAAAAAAAAAAAACAAATTATTATAAAACTTTCGCAATACTTAATCGTATGGTAAGTATGTTATTTATCGCAAACTAAATTTCATTTCATGTCAAAATTAATAGGACACGTAATTGGAAAAATAGAACATTTGAAAATACATTTACAACGGCCTTCCCATAATTAGAGTCTAGTGACAACAACCGTAACAACGGAATACAGCATGTAAATTACAATTATTATTATGCAAAAGTTTTACGTGATGTTACAAAAATTTATTTTAAGAAATACAGAATAGTGCAATTTATTAAAAAAAATTAAGACAGTCCAATGGTTTACATACCATAGGCAAAAGTAATTTTGTACATTTAATTAATTAATAACTAACTAAATAATGAATTAATAATATGAGCAATTGCGGATTTGAATTGAACATTTAGTGAGCAATTAAGAGCACTTATTCATTAATCTAAGTTGTTTAGGCACAACAATTTTGTACTTTTAATTATAAATATCTAATTAAATAATTAATTATGAGTGTGAGCAATTGCGGATTTAAATTGAGCATTTTGTGAGCAATTTAGAGCACTTATTTATTTTAATTTTTTTTATTGGTTTTAAGTATAATAGGCAAAACAATTTTATACGTTTAATTATTAATAACTAATTAAATAACAAATTAATAATGTGAGCAATTGCGGGTTTGAATTGAGCATTTAGTGAGCAATTTAGAGCACTTATTTATTTTAATTTTTTTTATTGGTTTTAAGTATAATAGGCAAAACAATTTTATACGTTTAATTATTAATAACTAATTAAATAATAAATTAATAATGTGAGCAATTGCGGGTTTGAATTGAGCATTTAGTGAGCAATTTAGAGCACTTATTCATTAATCTGAGCGGTTTAGGCAAAAACAATTTTGTATTTTTAATTATTAATAACTAATTAAATAATTAATTAATAGTGTGAGCAATTGCGGATATAAATTGAGCATTTTGTGCGCAATTATAAGCACTTATTCATTAAAAAAAAGTTTATTCGTTTTAAGTATAATAGGCAAAAAGAATTTTGTACTTTTAATTATTAATAACTAATTAAATAATAAATTAATAATGTGCACGTAGCACCTATTCATTAATCTGAGCGGTTATACTTCCAAGCCAACTTCTTTGTGGTAATGAGCATTGTGGGTACTTTTTGCGATACGAAAAAAACTGCACCCTGCTTGAATATAACTACCGTTGTTATAAATGCATAAAATGCAATATTAACCCTTTCGCTGTCCCGTGCACTACGTATAGGGCACTGCTATTGTCTTACTATTGTGTCTGGAAACCGGACAGTGAAAGTGTTAAGTACAAATAGTTAATAAAATGATAAGCGTCGAATGCACCCGGGGCATTTTTTTTTTATAGGACTGGGGGCAAACAAGCATGCGGCTCACCTGATGGTAAGTGACTACCGCCGCCCATGAACAACTGCAACACCAGGGGAATCGCAGATGCGTTGCCGGCCTTTTAAAATGAATGTAGAAATGTATGGTATTTTAATTTTCCGAGGTTTTCTTTATTGGCCTCATTAGTAGCAAGTTTACGCAGATCATTTTTTCATTGGAAAACTAGCTGATACCTCCGACTTCGTTCACTTTCTTAAAACTTTAATAACTTTATATTAAATAAAGATATCGCAATATTTTTTTAGGTAAGGGTCAAGTGTCTAAGAAATAAAACTTAGAAATACTAATTAAAATCTATCCAGTAGTATTTCCGTGATGCCCGCACAAATGCAAGCCTCTATCATTTTATTTATATAGATAGACGTGTAAGAAGTTAACCTATAAACGTCTCACTTATTAAATTAAAATAAAAAACCAGCAAAAAGTAATACGGAAATCTCAATTTTATTATTTATTACAGACAAAAGATACTTATACAATGTATAGAAGGTAAGTAAAGGTACCTTTACCCTCCATCATCATCATCATCATCATCATCATTACAGCCCTTCACAAGTCCACTGCTGAACATGGGCCTCCCCCAAGGAATGCCACAAAGCACGGTCCTGAGCCACCTGCATCCATCGACTTCCTGCATGTCTCACCAGGTCTTCACTCCATCTAGTGGGGACTCGCCCTACACTTCGCCTACCGGCACGAGGCTGCCACTCGAGAACCTTTCTTCCCCATCGGTTGTTGGTTCTTCGAGCTATATGGCCAGCCCACTGCCACTTCAGCTTACTAATTCGTTGGGCTATGTCGGTCACTCTGGTTCTACTGCGGATATCCTCATTTCTAAGTTTATCACGCAGAGACATCCCGAGCATAGCCCTCTCCATAGCTCGCTGAGCGACCTTGAGCTTCCTCATTCGGCCAGCAGTGAAGGACCACGTCTCAGATCCGTAAGTCATCACTGGCAACACGCACTGGTTGTACAATTTCGTTTTCAGGTTTTGAGGTATGTCTAACGAGATGTGTCGTAGTTTCCCGAACGCTGCCAGCCGAGTTGAAGCCGTCGATTGACCTCTCGGTCGAAGTTGGACTTACCTAGTCGGACTATTTGTCCCAGGTAAACATACTCGTCAACAACTTCGAGCTTAGTGCTCCCAACAACTACCGGCATAGGTGTGACATGGACATTAAACATAATCTTTGTTTTGTCCATGTTCATCTTAAGACCTATCCGTTGGGAGACACTATTGAGGTCATTGAGCATAGTGCTTAGGTCCTCCAGCGATTCTGCCATAAGGACTATATCGTCGGAAAATCAAAGGTGAGTTATGTACTCGGCATTGATGTTAATACCGTATCCTTTTCAGTCCAGTACCTTGAAAACATCTTCCAATGCAGCGGTGAAGAGTTTCGGTGATATAACGTCACCCTGTCCTACACCTCTCTGCAGTTCGATTGGTTACGTACTCTTATTCTGTACTCGGATAGCCATCGTAGCTCTACTGTACATACACTTCAGCACTTCGATATACCGACAGTCAACTTGGCACCACTGAGGGGACTGCAGCACCGCCCAAATTTCGACGGAATCAAAGGCTTTCTCATAGTCCACATACGCAAGGCAAAGTGGCTGATTATACTCTTCTGTCTTCTGTACAATCTGCCGCAGTGTATGTATGTGATCATGATGTATGTACTATAGCCTTTTCGGAAACCGGCTTGTTCAGGAGGCTGGAAGTCGTTGAGTCTGCGTGCGAGACGATTCGTAATGATTCTCGAAAACAGCACGTAGACGCGGCTCAGAAGGGAAATCGGTCTGTAGTTCTTCAAGAGTGCGTTGTCGCCTTTCTCGAAAAACAAGACCACCGCACTTCTGCTCCACGCCTCCGGAGTAGTGCCACCATGGAGAACGGAATTAAAGAACTTCTGAAGGACTTCAAATACCGGTTTTCCACCCGCTTTCAAAAGCTCCGCTGTAATTCCATCCTCGCCCGGGGACTTGCCGTTTTTAAGGTGCTGGAGAGCCATTCTAATCTCGCTCAGACTGACGTCCGGGATATCTTCGGAATAGTGTCGGATAAGACTCGCTCTTGGATCGTTACTCACACTTGCGTGTGGCTCCAACGATGACGTGTACAGCTGCCCATAGAACCTCTCAATCTCACTCAAAATGTCAGGTGTCCCGGAAACGATACTGCCACACTCTGTCTTCAGCCTTGACAGTTGGCTCTTTCTGGCAAACAGATCTCTGACAAAGACTTTGGAGCCTTGGTTCCGCTCGATCGCTTCTTCAATAAAAGCTGTATTGAAGTTGCGCAAGTCCCGCCGCATGCATGCCGCATGGATGCATGCATGGATTTGCATGCATTTACCCTCCATATACATTGGTAATTATACAAAAGGTAAATATGTAATCATACTAACGTAACAAACTTATTATTAACATCGACTTGTTTTCTTTTGTTCTCTATTGTTTTTCCGAAAATTGAATTTTTTGTTTTTTTAAAAAGTTTCTTTCAAAATCAAATGTAGCATTTTGTCTTAAAGATGTATTTAGGGAAATATATGGCTCTAAAAATGCTTTTTGATTGAAAGCTAAAATCCTATGAATCTTCAATAAAACAAGCCCGTTTCTTAGGCATTCTTGTAAATGACGGTAATGGATAACATATTTATATTTATCATAGAGATTCGCAACCAATTTCTTATTACTAATGTTTGATGATATTGGAACTGTTAACTTTTCTGCTGCAAACGGTAAGTCAGAATGTTCATCATGAATATTGCGTGAATATTGCATGTCAACTTCGTGTATATATCCTATATTACTATTAGAACTAATAGAGTTAATATCAAAACTTCTTAATTCTTTATGTTTTAAAAAGCGAAAATTTTTATAAGGTAGTTACTGCATCATAGCATAACCATACAAATTTACACAATCTAAATAAACTAAGAAAGAATTTGGATCTTCTTCATTAAAATTTGGTAAGTATTTGTTATTAGCTTTTGCATACCTTAACGAGCATTGAGATAGCCCTCCTCTTATACCATTTTCTAAAAATTGATAAATTTGTATATCAGTAATTAAATCCAACTCAATACTTGTCAACAATAGCATAGCATCCCAACTTAGTGAAGGTGATGAAACATAATGACAAGGATTGACACCATAATAATTTAAACTTATGGATCTAAATTTCTCAAAAACATCGTAAAGTAGTAAGACATCGCATTTCAGATATAACTCGGTATATTCACCTAAGTTTTTAATACCAAAATTTTGCCACACAGTTAAAGCATGATTATAATCTTCGCTTGTTATAGATTCTGATGTAAATTTATTGTAAAATTTTGATTGCTCTGGTAACTGAGTTTCTTTATACTTTTCCCAAAAATCTACATAGTCATAGCAATATATACCCTTCCTAAGACATAATCGGAATAAATTTTCATCTGGAAAGAATGTTCGCAAATGTTTTAAGTCTTCAGATTTAGAGTTTGTGCTAAATGATCTAAACTTGAACTCAGGAAATTAAAGGAGTCTATAAATTTTAATTGCGCTGACTTCTGCATATCGATTGGAAAATACTTTGTAAAAGAAATAAATTTCTCTTTGTTTTTTGGAATTAAATTTATACGACCGCATACACTTGCAAGTTCTTATATAAATATATGGCAATCATATCTAGAAAGATTATGAAATATAATAGGAATAAAATTACATTTTCTTTTGTTTAAATTACATGAATTATGAGCTGGACCTCTGTATTTACCTGTGAAATGGTCATGATCATATACTTTGTAATCAGAAGAACAAAATTTTTTTTACTAATATAACACACTTCTGCACTATTAAAAGAGCTCTGCTCTTCACTATAAAGCGGATTCATGTCTTTGGAAATATTAAAAATTTTATATAATCTTTCTATATCCTTATAAATTTAATTTACTATTTTTTTTGAGCAATTAGGCCCTCGATAAGAGACAAAGTCAGTCAATTCGGGATTGGATTCACAGCATATATAATAAGCAAAACAAGTAGCTTCATGAATCTGAACATTTTGTACATGTTGACTTTTATTTTTGTCAAAATATTCTCTAAGTAAACTTTCAAAGTCACCATAAATAACAATTGGAATTCTTTGAGACATTTCTGGATTAGAAAATCGTAGCTTTGAATTCGTTTCTGGAAAGATAGTTTGCATGCGAGCACAATCATGTGACTCTAACTTTGTCTCAGAATCAAAGTAAAGAAAACATTCATCACATAAATGAACTTTACATTTGTGTTTCGTAAGTTGTTTATGTACGAGATTTTCAAAATGTTTGATTAAAACAAAATGAGTCTTGTTTTGTTTATTCAAAAGCAATAAGTTCACATGCATTAACTTTCTTTGTGATGTTTTGTACAAAGGTCCTGTTACTGTATTATTTTTTTCTAATCCATATATATTGACACTTATGTTTGTATTCTGTTTTTCAAAGCGTTTTATATCTTTAAACGTCGGTGGAAAAGACATACCGAACACATTTAAAACTTTAGAATAGTGTGGATAAGATGTAACTCGATTTGGATTACATTTCGCTGGATACATTTGTGCTATGATACACCAAAGGAATCACTGACTGTCTGTATTATGAATATTAAGACATGACTTTGTTCTGACAATACTTTTTGGTAATGAAATAAAATGACCCGCTCTTAGCGGATTATATTTAGCTATATTTAGTTCTAAATAGTTAATTGACTCAATTGTCCACCCAGATTCAGATAATTCAAACTCCATGCATTTGCTGATTAAATTCTTCGAGTATTCTTCAAAAAGAAACTTTAAATCAATACTTTGTAATATAGGCGTATATTTAGTACTGAAGCTTTTTAATGATATTTCATCATTCTCTGGAAGCTTGTACAACACAAATAATTCAAAGTTTACCTTGATTGATTTGTGCGTGGTTAGTAATGTTTTAATTATATTGCAAACAGTGCTAGAAATACTAGATAAGAATAACTCTGGCATAATTATGTCACTTGAATCTGGATTTACTCTATAACTTGCAATCCTATTCTTGAAAGCAGTAGCTATTAACTGAACATCATCAAACTCAGTTCTAAGTAAACAATTAATTTTATGTATATTACCCTTCTTATGTGATGAATGATTTGATGAATATGCATTACAGTCCTGGCAGAATTTCATTTTCTATCATATATCTATTATTAACGTTTAGTGTAATACTGCTCAAAACTTGTATATAAATATGTATTTCAATCTTTATTTATATTTGTCTTATAGATTTAAATTCTAATAATTACTTTGTCTAGATTCTTGGTATTTCAAAATTCAAGTTTCAATTCAGCTTTTTGTTCTTTTAGATTCAGATTTTAGTTTTTTATTTTTCGCTGCTGTAAGGAGAGACACAGTTTTGAAAATAATATGGTATATCGCACAGTAATATAATAAATGATTCACAAATTTAAATTATAATTACTTTATCGAGGTATTTCAAAAAATCTAACTTTCAATATCTGGCTTTTTGTTTTAGATTCAAATTTTTAGTTCTTAGTTTTTCGTTGCTGCAAGGAAAAATAAATGCAATTTTTGAAAATAATTACTTCATTCAGGTATTTTAAAATTAAACTTTCAATATCTGGCTTTTTGTTTTTTAGATTCAGATTTTAATTCTTATTTTTTCTTTGCTGTAAGGAAAAGACATAAGTTAGGAAAATAATGTGCTACAAGTCAATAACATTTAATATTAAGCTATTATCAGCGCAATTACTTTATTATAGGTGCCTAAACAAAGTTAGAAAACATTAACAGGGTATAAAATTGGCTGTATAGCAGCGTACTCATCCTTTGCCCCTACTGTTAACTTTGTCACAGCTTTCCAAGTAAGGCTGTTGTCTTCTACAGCAGACTTCAGAGTGACGAGCGAACGCTTCCACCGATCGGAGCCAAGCTTTTCGGCTTCTTTCGTGTTGTACACACGCAGCTCTACATAGTAGTCGCCCGTCTTTGCAGGATCTGCCCTCTGCAACATGTAGCCCGAACCCGCACGCCGCGATAAAAAACTTCTCAGCGCCGCCGCTCTAATGGGTTCTTGCAACTCGTTATCTCCCTGTAATTATTTCAAATATTAATGTTACTATTGTATAGAAAAATAGGCTCATAATATTTATAACTAAAAAAATATTATAGTGCTGTTTGATATCGGTAAGAAATAAAATATTGGTGTTGGCGATCTCGATGATAATACTCAAAACAAAGTTTTTTCAAAAGCACAATTACTAATATGAATAAACTAAAATTGGTTAAATAATTACAAGAATAAAATAAAAACGACAAAGATCTATGACCTGAGTACAAATATTTATCTGTGAAATAAATATCTGCGTCGACCGGGACTCGAACCCACGACCCTCAGCTTGGCAATTTGGGTCACTGACCAAGACGACAATTGTATTAATAAATTTAAATTGAACTTACCGCTAAATCAAATGCAAACGAAAACCTCTTAAGTCTTTTCTTTTTTATAGACTCAGCTTCCGATTCGCTATCTGAATCCAGAACGACTTTCCTCTTCTTAATATTACTATCTCCACAAGATTTTTTCAATGTTTTCTTTTGTTTAGATTTCGTAATGAGAGTACTACCATCATCCGAGTCAAATGGGCTGACAATTTTGCTAGTCAACGTCCTGAAAATGAGTGATTCTATAGTTAATATAACAGGTCATAGATCACTTGTACACATATTATTTTATTACATATTTATATACATAAATAGCTGACCCAAAGTTTCATAAAAAAGGTGCAGCCGTTTGATCACTAACACTGTGACACGAGAATTTTATATATTAGATTATATAGTATGAACTCAATAAAAAAGAATAAAAATAATAAAAAGACACATACATACTTACATGTTTGATGAACACGTTCGCGTCACCTCAATTAAAAAAGAAAATTAGGAATAACTTGCAGCGCATTCTAGCTCTCCTTATATATGCAGAATTCTAAAGCCCATTACACAATAATACTTTAGCCAAAAACTAATTATTATGTTTTGTTAAGTCACATTTATTACCATTCCTATGACGCCCATTACACGCCTAGGCAAGCGTCAATCAGTTCGATTAATCATGACTGAGGTTTGAATGATGGAATAATTTGGACATTACACGCTCATGCTGACTGATCGTCAGTCAAACCCAAATTTTCGGAGTGAAAGGACGTACCTATAACCTAAGTTCATTTTCGATTCACCATTTAATTATAATTTTATATCTTGAAAAGAAAAAGAAAAAAAACGAATAGGAAAAATTGTAATATTTAATATCATTTTACCCATTTTAATTTAACGCGCGCAAATGTTAGACCTCTTGGAGTGCATAATCGATACGCGGCTTTATTTAAAACGCATTTATGGACGAAAAATAAGCTTAACTTGTACATTTATTCGTATAGGGTGGATGCCCCTATTACCAGCCTTTTAGTGCCAATTTCAATTTCCTTTTGTGTATCTAATGCCAGCATAGCATAGGGCTATGCCTTTTGAGTTTTTGGTAGGTACCTATTGTAGGTAAATTTTAGGGGCACTGAAATAAATTCACAACAACTTTTAATTTTAAATCATGCATGTCACAAGTATGGAATATGTATTAAGATAGACGACAACAATTATTTTATTTTAATGTTTTACTTCTTACCTTACTGTGGTTTAGCTTTAAGCAGTTACATTTTTATCTTTTAACACTAAACAATTAATTAAAATAATATTATAATAAAAATTATGTATTATAGTACACCGATTTCTTATAATTTAATCATCCAAGTTTTACAATCTTTATCATCATTTCAGCCCTTCACAAGTCGACTAATGAACATCATCCTCCATAGACTGCCGCAAAGCATGGTCCTGAACCACTTTCCTTGTTATGACTTTTTCATTTATGTTCTTAAGTTATAATAAAATTAGTATTACTAAGTTGTAGTTAATTACATTTATTGTTTGTTTTTGTCTTTCCCAAAAAATAATTAAATATTGTATGGTGTTCTTAACATATACCAAATGTCTGAAAAGCAAGTACGTATCATTTGTTAAACTTTTAAATCAAACACCAATTTTAAAATATAGACGAATTGACCATAACTTACTTAACTATAAAATAAGTTATGTTTTTTTTATATAGGATAGGGTGACAAACGAGCACACAGTCCACCTGATGGTAAGTGGCTACTATGACCCATAAGCATCTACATCTATCCTCAATATAGACTCAAGATGCAGATGCGTTGTCACCCGTGAGGACTAAGATGGAATGCCTCTTTGCCAGTAAAAAGGGTCTCCGGTTCTCTACACTCACCATACGAAACACAGCAGCGTTAAGCTGCTATTCTACGTTGGTTTTCTGTGTGAGTTCAAATTAATGGTATTTATGCTAGTTTATGACAGCCCTGATTTATATTACGTGGTTGAAATAAGGTACTTCTTATTATTTACGTCAAACCAAATAACAGTCGGGCCACTGACATTATGCACTCCATAAATTTCGTATATCTAATTACAGCCCCATTAATTTCCACTAAAATAAAATAAAAAACTTATAAATTTAAACAAAAATAGCTGCATTACTATGTCTATAGTCACATTCATACAAATCAAAAAGCCTAAAGATGAGCTAATGTAAAATATGCTTATGTTTTGATTTTTAATTTAACACTGTTAGGTTTAAAACTGTGAGGTAATATTTGAAATATACTTTCCTCTAATTACGAAGAATTTTTAGCCGACCATATTTGTAGTTAAGACTACTAGAAATATTATTTACGAAGTAAAAAGGCGGAAAGGCTGGAATTAGGGGCGTGGCTGGTATTAGAGGCATCCAACCTACCCGAGGTTTTTCGTGTCCCACAACTCGGGGAGAGCCTCAAAATTTAAAATAAAGTCTTTTTCTGGCTGAAGCACATTTGGCGGGAGTGGCGACGGGCTGCGCGAGCGCGTGAAACCCGCCTCTTCAATATATTCTGCGTCCGCCTCCATTGCTGTCTGAGCGTTGACTGACGCGTGATTGATGAAATGCCATTACACGTTAAATCAAAATTCGTGACTGAATAGTTGATTGACGTAAAAATCAAAATATCCAGATATTTGTCAATCAATTTCATGCAACTGTCAATAACTACATTACACGATAGGTTATTCGTCAATCACAACCGTGATTGTTGTAAAACTGACAGCAAAACCTACCGTGTAATGGACGTCTATGAATGCTCTGTATAAAGTCTAAAATCCATTAACTAAAATTTTATCAATGTGTCTACACCTTAACCTAATAATATGATACAGCTTACACTGCAGACGCCACTCTGTCCACAGAATACTTTACTCCTAGCGGAGAAGAATGTTAACTCCATATAAAATGGATAGGAACAAAATTCAGCGCCATCTACCGTTGGAGCACATACAACAAATTTGAGCGGGAAAATTCGAATCGCAGAAATTAAATTTTTTTCATCGATCTGGTTTTTCCAAGATTTATTCTATTAAAAAATATGTTTCTATCATTAAACATTATTTCTATAAATTTATCTCTAGAATTATAATAATTAATTATTTTAGAAACATATTTCCTAATAGAATAAATCTTGGAAAAACCAGAATCGGTCACAGTTATGTATTTCTGACGAGGAATACAAGTTATAGTAAAATATAATTTATGCTTACAAATTCATTTATTCATAACAAAAGATATAGAAAAAAAAAACAAATATAATTAGCCTATTAAATTGTTTTAAATTCATTTAAGTTAGTATATTGGAATTACAGGTGTAGCGTAACTTAATATTTAATGAAACATGTTTAAATTATGCAAAATTCTTACAATATTCACACAGAAAATAACTACAATAATATGTAATCAATTTAAATAAAATATAAAATATGTCGACAATTTGAATTTTGTTTTAATAGAAAAATTGGCCTTTACATCTAAATATGATTTATACAGCGTCAATAATTTTACAACAGCTATTCTAGACGCTGTAGTGCCTGGGACATCACGAATCCAAACTAATAAGTTTGGATTGCAAGTATAGTAAATCTTAATTTATGTTTACAAATTAATTTCTCCATAAAAAAGATACGGAAAAAAAATATAACTAAACTATACAAAAATGTTTTAAATTCAAATAAGTTTGCATATTGGAATTACAGTTTACAAAACAATGTTTAAATTATGCAAACTTCTTGCAATTTTCACATAGAAAATAACTATAATAATATATACTCAATTTAAATATAAAAATGTCGACAATTTGAAACAGAAACATAAACTTATTTATTCAATATAGATTATATATAATACTTATTGAAAATCACTCTTTTGTTTAATTACCACTGGTTCGAAAAAAAACCTCTGTCCTGGGAAGAACCAGCAAGAAACCCAGCGGGTGTTTTTAAATAGCTTACAATCATGTATGTTACAGAATTAACAACACAACAAATTAGAAATAGCTTGGTAGCGATCACCTCATTCCCAGGGGTTATTATCATCCATAAATTCCTTAACTTTATAATAACCCTTTTTATACAAACTTAGTTTAATAAAGTTTTTGAACTTTGAGCAAGTCAAATTTTGTATATTTTCTGGAATTTTTTTGTAAAAGCGTATAATTCGCCCCAAGAATGAATTACTGACTCGGTGGAGTAGAGTAACTGGTACTATTAGCTTGTGTCTGTTCCTAGTATTTACAGAATGAATATCACTTATGTTTGTAAAACTACTTTTATTTTTGTGTACGTACATTACATTTTCATAAATGTATTGAAAGGCCAAAATTAATATATTAATTTTCTTAAATATTTGTCGCAGCGACTCTTTAGGCTTTAAATTATAAATTGCTCTTATAGCCATCTTCTGTAAAACAAATATAATTTCAGTGTCAGCTGCGTGTCCCCACAGCAAAATACCATACGACATTATGCTATGGAAATAGTTAAAGTAAACTAGTCTAGCTGTTTCAACACTGGTTAGACCTCAATAATAATAATAATAATAAGGTTAGAAATAACCTCAATAAATTATTTAATGTGCTAGGTGATGGAAGGCACCACATCCTTCTTCATAATCGGTAGCACGTTGGGGACCTTTTAAATAACCTCAATGCGATTACTTTTTCGTCGAATGTCCACCTTCTGCCTTTAAATTTCTTTTTATCATTTTTCAATTGAGCCTGTAGCATCAGCGCAAAAGACGGCGTCAGCCTCTGCATTAGTTTTGCTACAGACTTATTTTTTTCTAAAATGTTGAGGGCATCTCCTTTTCTCATCTTCTGAATTGTTCTTTTTAGTTGACAAATTTTTTTCACTTCTACATTTGTTGTATAAATAATTTTCTCTGTCAGTTTTTTTAAAAGTTTGTTTCTGTATTTCTTTACACAATCATCTGAAACAAAAGCATTAACAATTAATTACTAATTTGTGCCTTTGAGTGAGTGAGTGAGTGTGGAGGTACCTACTTATTATGGATAATTTTATTAATTAGATATTTTAATTGCTCTTTTTAGATATAACCTAGACCCCATTTTCTAAAAGAAATTACAAGAATTGAGATGATGATTAATCTAGATAAAACTGTTAATTATTACCAACTCTAAAGAAACAATATTGTTTACTTTTATTGTAGGTACCGATTTTTCATTTGGAATGGCTGGTCCAATAATTTTATACGAGTTTATATGAGTAGTATAGTTGTAGCACGAATTGGTCGGCTCGACAGGGGAAGGACCACGCTCTCACAGAATACCGGCGTAAAATAGCAGCTTAATTCTGCTGTGTTTCGTATGGTGAGTGTAGAGAACCGGAGACCCTTTTTACTGGAAAAGAGGCATTCCATCTTAGTCCTCACGGGTGACAACGCATCTGCATCTTGAGTCTTTATTGAGGATAGATGTAGATGTCTATGGGTCACAGT